TTGCATTTTAAATTTAAAATTTTTTAACTCGTTATTGTATAATTTGTATGTCTAGCTTTGGGTGACCAGTTTTACAAAAAAAAAAAAAAACGGAACAAGCATTTTTTGGGTTAAATACTCAATAAAAACATACACATTTTTTAAAAAAATTTTCTATTTTATAGTTACAATTAAAATATTTTTTAACTACCTTGTTTAATATTTTGATAAAAAAAACTTGTTTACTTTATTTTTTTGGGTTGATATCGATTGCTCATCATGTCCTTTATTATCTATTGCAGTGCCGTTACTGGACTTTTGCGATGAACTGATTGCGTTTAATAATTTTGGTTGTTTTAACAAAAAATCATAAAAATCATTACACAAATATTTTTTGAAATGATTTTTCAGAATTATAATTGATTTGATGGTAGGAACGAGAAAGCGATTTTTTTCGTCCATCCATAACACATTAGTGATAGAAAATACTCTTTCAATTGCAGCATTTATTCCAGGCATTGCTAGAGAATATTCTACAATTTTCCAAAAATTATTTATCAATATTATTTTACTATTTAAAATTGTATAGGTAGCACACCATCTTTCTTCAACACGAACATAATTATTCTGCCATTTTTTTAAATTTTCATTTATAACATTAACTACATGATTATATTCATCAAAAAGAATATCTTCATCCACATTCCAACCGGTTTGTTTTTTATTATTTTTCAAAATAAATGTTAACCTTTTTTGAATATCATTCCATGTTGGACAATTTATCAGTTGAGTCCAACGAAATATTTTTAGTTCTTCAAATGAATTTCCCCATTTTTCAATGTACAACAAAAATGTGTCATAAAACTGGTTAGTTTGCTCTATAAATTGTTTTTTTGTGTATTTATTTTTTGTTTCTAGTTTTAAAAGCATCGAATTTAAACTGGAAGTTAAAGAGTTTTGTGTTTTTCTATTTTTTATTTTTCCACATAATATTTCTAATTCTTCTGATACTTCGTATGCAGGTATGTTGTCCCCTTCTATTCTTTTTATAGTGTCACAAACGACTTTTAATTGACTTTGTATAAAATGTAACCATATTATTGCAACGTGGTCACTAAATAATGATTTTAAAATGGTATGGGCATTTATCCTGAGTGTCAAAGTACAATTTTAAAGCTGTATACATTTCAATAATTCTGGAGACTGTTGGTTGTAAGGATAACCATCTTGTCTTTACACTTCCAAGTACGTTTTTGTATTGTGTATTTGTAAAATCACAAAATTCTTTTAATGCTTCCACTCTCACAGTATAAATATAAAAGTATTGAAATATTTTATTAACGATACATTCGATATCAATCGGTAAGATATCTGTACTAGTTTGCATAGCGTTGTGTAGAATATGAGCTGCACAACCAATTCCAGAAATGTTAGTCTTCAAATTATTGTTCAAAATCGTAAATACATTTTTTGTTCCCCTCCTTGCAGCACCTCCAAAATTGGTATTACAGTTGTCACCGGTAAATGCAATAATTTTGTGAGATAATTTATGTTTTGTTAAAATTTCCATAATATAAGTTAACAAAATATCTGAAGTTTCTCCTTTCAAATTTGTGAATTCTGACACTTTTATTTGAACTCCCGTTTTAGGATCAAAATATCGAATAAGAATGGGGACAATTTTTAAATTCTTATGATTTGAAGTGTCAATCATAATTATCGCAAAATTAACAGCCTTTAGTTCGTCTATTATTTGATCCATTGCAAAAGGAGCCAATACATTTAGAATAATTGATTTACACTTGGTACGCGCACAAGAAAACTTTTTTTCATGTAACTTTTTTATTAAAATAGTAATACAATCCATTGACCTAAAAGAATGGTTGTGTACTATAGTGTGAAATGCAAACATTCCCTCTTCTGCTGCAATTTTCAACCCTTCACTAGTTAAGCCAGCTGGTCATTGTTTAATAGAGGTGGGTCGGTCGCGACTGACCGAATCAAAATGAACGAATCATTCAAGTGACCGAGTCGCGACTGAATGATGTACCAAAAAGTATTCAGTCTTTCGGTCAAATCGATCTTTAAGTCAAACGACTCGTTTGACGGTTTTTAATGAAACTTTTCTTTCAGACGGAATTATTTTATGACAATATACCGTTTACTTAAAGATACATGGAGACTAAATATACCTAATAAATGCATTTTACAAAATATCAAGGGGGGTAGTTGCCCCCTCTTAGTTTATGCATATGATGTATATAATATCAACTATTTAACACAATTTGTTTATACAGTCATACAACACTTTTTACTTATACTTACTTTTATGATTTACTAAGTAAGAAATACTTAAAAATAAAACAACCAAATTTGAATTATAAAATTATTGAAAATATATAATATATGAACACAATATTGTAAATTCTGTATAATTCAAAATTATATATAATTTATAATTTTCTTGTACCAATTACAAAAATACAAAATGTTGAATTATTTTGTTTTATTTTTTAGTAATAGATAGTACAACCCATGCATAATAAGTATAAAATATGATAATAATAATAATTCTACTATATCATGGAGTCTTTAGTCTATTCTCGGGGAAAACAATAATTATCTAATAATAGACAGTATAGATTATTGATAGTCACTATAGTTGACTATAGTGTTGTACTGATTTACATGTTAATAATAATTACATCTCGTGATTAAAAGATAATATAGTATAATCTGTGGTGAATGGTGATATCTACTTTCACGATACCAACTAAGGTTTTGTAAGGTATTAAAGAAAACACAAGTTTATAATAGTAATCATAGGCAGTATATTAGTATAATATTAAATATATACAATAATAATTAATAATCCAAGACCGTGATAATTATCATGGCTTATAATAACAACCACGGCGTTTTACTACAAACAGTACAATTTACAACATTATCATAATAATAATCTCTGTCACTGATTAACTGATTCATATTTCATAAGAAAATTGATTCACCTAATGATAAGAACGATATTTAATGCAAGACCGAAATGACTGATATGACCGAATCACTAGACTGATCCGATTCAAACGATTCGAATCATTCAAACGACCGAAAATTCCCACCTCTATTGTTTAATAAAATATGACGTTACCTTGTCACTTTCTGAAACACTAGATAAGGCCGATGTATGTTTTTTCTTTTCCATATGCTGATTGATATCAGAGCGTCCTCCATGTTCGATTGAAAATATTCCCTTGCACACCGTACAAAACACTTTTCCAATTTCTTCACAATTTTTTAGGAAAGTAAATTCAGATTGTAAAGATACAATGAACGTACATCTCCTCTTTAGCATTAAAAAAAAAAAAAAAAATAAATAATGCACCAATTCACAAAATTTAAAGAAAAAAAAGACGACGTAGTGGCTATAATCAACACAATCGCTTTACTGTTCGTACGTTATTATTCGACATATATTGTTGTTCGTCTTTTTGATTATAATCATCGATTATAAATAGTATTATATATTTTAGTTCGTAATGCATATGCTATACGACATAGAGTGGTGACTTGTGTATCGCGTGTTGCGTGCGTAAGTGATTCGCAGAAACTATCGGTTATCGCAGGGCCGGATTAAGATATTTTGCGCTGATGGTCTTCCCAAAGGTCTTTTACCTACAGGGTTTTGTTCAATCACTGCATGTAATAGTGGATTTTGACTCCTCCAAGCGTGGCCAGCCCACCGTAGTCTTCTGCTTCTAATGACCTCCAATATATCTGAACTGCTGTATAATGTTTTCAGCTCTAAGTTCTTTCTTCGTCTCCACTCCCCAGTTATTTCATCTTTGACCGGGCCATATATTTTCCTCAACACTTTTCTTTCAAAAACCAAGAATCTTTGATCGTCCATTTTTCTGAGTGGCCATATTTCCGATCCATACACTACAACCGGACGTATTAAGGACGTATATAATTGTTCTTTCAATCTTCGCGATACTGCTCGTGAGCTTAGTACCTCAGTCAGTCCATAGTAACATTTATTCCCAGCTTGGATTCTTGCTGCTACCTCGATTGATACATTATTTTTTTCAGACATAATAGATCCTAGGTATCTGAACTGTTCTACCCTTTTAAATTCATATTGATCTATTTTTATTCAGTTTATATATATATTTAATTATCGAATACAACGTAAACTTAATCGCTCTTGCTGTGTCAGTTGGTTATCGACGTACCACTTACTTTAAATATGCCCCAATAACTTCGGTTGACATCGAATGTTCGTTTTCAGTCTTTAAAAATATGTTAACCGATAAACGACACAGCTTCACAAAAGATAAACTTGAAATACATATGATTATTCATTTTAATAATAAATAAAATTTTAAAAATAAATTAAGTTTAGAAAATTCCCTAAATTTTTTTGTATTAAGTATTTAAGTAATTAATTATTATAAGTTGAATTATACATTTTAAATAAATAAAAAATTCTTGCATATTTTTTGCATATTTTCATAATTTTAACTGCATATTATATGGCATATTTTGATACTTTTAAGTGCATACAAATCCGCGCTCTAGTAATAATGTTAATAATAATGTTAATTTGAGATTATGATTTATGTTGCACTTGTTTTGAATAATAAAAAATCATAAAATTCAGACTTAGTACTTCGAAGTATTAAAAGTATATTTCAACTTCCAATTTCTATTTGACCATTTATTGTTTTAATAATTCTAATTTATGTTTTTTACTTTAATCATCATTATGTTCATTATGTTTTTTTGTGTTTTATTTTTAATAGTATATTTTATTCGTTATTCTATATATTTATATTATTTATTCATCTACATTATTAACCAGGTAACTCACTTTTCTATTGACACGTTAAGCGCAATAATAATAAATAATTTATGATGGTAAAGAGAAATAACAATAAACATATTTAAATTTATATCAAATAAATACCAATAACATGTCGTGTTGTGATGTTTCATAAATTACGGCGCACGAACAAAAGCTATAATTATTTAATCTACGGTTAGGAAAATTGAGCTATGGAACAGTGGAGAGGTCGTAATGCCATCGTTACAGGTGCCGGTTCGGGTATTGGAGCGGCCACGGCGTTGGAATTATTAAAACATGGCGTGAACGTAATTGGATTGGACGTCCAATCAGCAAAGCTTGTGGTATATGATTTTTTTCAATATATGCTATAATTATACATTTATATACATGCACTATGCCAAGGGTCGCCAACCCGTCGATAGTGATCTTAGAGGTCGATCGTAATAAATCTTCATAAACTTTGCATGATTATTGTTATATTTTATTTAATTATAATAAAATGTTACAATACTATATAATTTTTTTTTTTATAAATACACTTATAATTTTTTTATAAATAAATAGGTTTCGATCGCCACAAACCAAAATCTTTGTATACAACTAACTTGTTGGAAAATGTTGGCGATCCTTGCTATATCTTGCTATGTATAACCTTGCACTATGAAGTATCGTAATGATATATTATAATGCTTTATTTGAAACAAGCCGCATGTATGCAAACAATAATCATGATCGAAAACGTAATTTGAGAAGAGGAGTTGGATTCAAATTGTTTTTACTCACTATATACAGTTACAACTTCTTAAAGTCAATGAACTGAACACACAGTTTCGTAGCAAGGATATGGCGAACTATGCCTACGTCAGGGGCGCAAATTGCAAAGGGGCGTAAAATCGTGCGAAAGTCGCATTTTTATCCTACAATCAAATCGAAATGTTTTCATTGTACTTTTTGAAATACGAAGATTTTGTTCATTTATATATACTGCTAGTGAATTTAATGATGAAATAGCGAATTAATGAAATTAATTAAATTAATGAAAAATAACGCAAGGACATTTAAATAAAAAATTTCTTATAAAGAAATTATAGATCAATTTTCTAGTCGTAAAGCGAGAATTGTAAATTTTCAAAGTTTAAAATTAACACTGAAATAACTTATAAGTATACTGAAAAATATTAGTGTAATTAAAGGTTAAAAAATATCGTGCCATCAAACTTAAATTGTTTAAAAAGCATTTTTTTTTAAGTTTGCCAAGGGCGCTAGCGAGTCTTCCTACGCCATTGTGAACACATCTATTTCATAATACCACAATAACCATATCACCCACTCACTGGTATTTAATTTTGAAAATTTTGATAGAAATTGTTATTCTCGTTCACTCCTACAACATTTGTTTTTTTGCCGTACAAAAAATTTTCTTAACTAACCCAAAACCCAAAAGTTAACCCGAAACCCCCATGTATGTTTTTAGGCCGCGCAAAAACTAAGAATTAATTTTATATATTACATTATTCATTGTTCGTTGTTATTATATAATTATACATTATTATTTTTTTATAACAAATTTTATTTCGTATAAGACAGCTCTTCTTAAACTATTATTACGATTGTCGAGTTATTATTATTCTTATATATTTTTATTTATTTATTTTACTACAGATAATAGTTTAAAAATACAATTTAATCAAAAAATCATTAGAAAATGTTTGGTTGCATGTTCGGAAAGATTAACCAGATTAGAAAGAGTAAAACTATTACAGTTTAAATCCTATTGCCCATACTTTTTTTTTATGAAAAAACTATTCCACCCTTGTTTACATTAAGATTAAGTTTTGAAACCGAATAGAAAACGTAGAATCTGAACTACAATTTAAATTTTATAGTATTGAGCCCGGTGTTCAAAACATAATTTCTCAAATGCAACATCATACATTGAGTAAATAAAAATTAAATATTACATTTTTATGAAAAATTAAGTGTAATAAAAATAATTATAAATATGAATGATTTTATGTACATTCTTGTGTGAATTATAATAAATAATAATTATTATGGTATTGATTATGATAACATACGATAATTTGTAAAAAAAAGGTATTCAAAAAAAATTGATAAGAGGGCCCGCGATTTCTAAAAAAAATGCTATCAGTGTTCCGTATTTTGTAACACTTTAGGAATCACCAATATAGGGTATAATAATAACTTTTAACTAAACAAAGTATACATAATTGAACAGTGCAGTGATTATCATGTATACTATTCCAATTTAACAATATTATTGAAATTTATATGTATTTTGGCATTTTTAAGCGGTGTGTAGTGTATACAAGCTGTATTTATAATGTTTCGCACTAAAATGTTCTTGAAAATATTAATTGAAATCGGCAATCGAAAATAATTATAATGCATCAGTATTTTGTAAACAACTCGATATTATGATAATGGATGTGATGCTGCAGAGTCTCGAGAATTCGATAAAAAACGATGTTGCGATTACTGACACACCAAAGCGAGATCAACGTGGGATTTTCTACCCAAAGGTTTGTGACATCACCAACGAACGAGCAGTGCAAGACGTTTTCGTCTGGGTGGACGACGCACTCGGTGGCGTCAGCGTATTGGTCAACAACGCTGGTATCATAATACGGACCAGTCTATTGGGTAAGTGTCTACTATTATTATTATTATTATTATTTCATAAACTCCATAGTGTAAATATAATACAATATTTACAACACAGTATATTCGGAAACGTATGATCGTATATGTTATAATATAAATAAAACCAATAATCAATGGCGTACGTAAGGGATGGGGGGTTAAAACCCTCCATTGCCAAAATCTAAGCTAGTAAATAAGTAAGTTTATTTAGATTTAAGATTTAAATTTTTTAGATTAAAGAAAGTTAATTCTTACAAATATCTTGACTCAATGGTGAGTGAAAAAAATGGTATCACCAAAAAAGTAGACGTGATCCAAGCGGAAAACAAGACTTATTTTGGTCTTGTGAAACTGTTAAGTTCAAGGTCATAATCAAGGCAGATAAAGAGACATTTGTATAGCAACCTAATACGACTAGTTATATTGTACGGATTGAAAACCTGGACATTGAAAAAATCAGATGAAAATAAATTTTTAACACTAGAAAGGATAATATAATGGAAGATCTTCGGTCCAGTAAAAGATAACATCACAGGAGAGTAGAGAAGAAGTAAAATAAAGAGCTATAAGAAATGTTTAATAAAAATAACATAGTAGAGACGATCAGGAAGGAGGTTTGCGCTGGGCAGGACTACTACTAAAAACGGTGTTGAAACAAAATCCAGGAGGAAAAAGACCTTTAGAAAGCCAAAATTAAAACTGGAAGATATAGTTTAGAGGGATGTAGATGAATTAGGAGGCAGAGTAAACTGGAAGGATTTGTTAATGAATTGTGACACCTAGAGAATTGGTTGTGAGACGGGATGGTCCTAGCGGCCGGATAACCCGAAAAAGAAGAAGAAATAAATAGGTAATAATAAAAATAATTATCACCTAAATTTATTAAACCTCTGTTCATTGCCTACACCCTTGCCAATAACACATTTATACATTTTTGTCCATTTCAACCTTTATGTAGATCATCTACCCCGTAGGTATATAGGTTTTATCACACAGTACACACATATTTGACACGAGACACATGTTTTTCGTATACCTGTATACCAATGATTCCCAACTCAACACTAGGCACGGATCACTTTAATAAATTTTCCTACGTCACGGAACACGACTTATTTATTAATATTTCTCCCTCCCTATATCACTAATTTTTTTTTTCTACTTTTACAGTTCATAATTAATATGTACATAATAAAATCATAAATATTATTTATATTACAGAAAAAATTATTTTTTAACAAAAAAAGTTTTATTTTAATTATTATTAAATTAAAAAATTGTACGAGTTTAAATTATTATATTATATTATTATTATTATTATTATTATTATTATTATTCAAATGTTACTTATTACCACGAACTTCGTGCATTCCAGCTTAAATATATATTTAACAGTATTAATAGAAAGCAAATAATTGCGATGTTTATGATTTATAAACAAAATGTTTAAAACGCACGCAGCAATAATATTTACGATGACACTAATATTAGAATTGATCAATAATTGTAAACAACAAAAAGTTATAAACAGTGGCGTGTCCAGAATTTTTTTTTGGGGGTTATAAAAAATGTAACATTAAATTTTTTTGAATTTTGTGTGTTTTTATTATAATCAATAGACAATATACATACACTAAACATTTTCGGGGTGGGGTTATACCCCCTAACCTCCCCTGGATACGCCACTGGTTATAAATTATAATATATTTCCAATATGAAAAAGTTTTGTTTCGAAGATGTATTAAATATCTACGTAAAAAGTTAGACCCATGCATGCACGATAATTCATATTTTTATTAATCAAGCAATATTCTATTACTTTATTAGATGGGACTTTGAAAGATTGGACACGTTTCATGGACATAAATGTGTTGGCACAATGCGTGTGTTCGAGAGAAGCTTATCGATCAATGACAAAAAACAAAATAAACGGGCACATTGTTCAAATAAACAGGTATAAAATAAATTATTGGAAAAAAATCTCATATTAAAGTTATTGTATAATAATATGTTTATTATTTTATACCGTATAAAATTATTAAGTAAACATTTTTCAAAATATGTATCTTAAAAAAAAAAATTTTAATATACTTGTTTAATACATTATCTCTGTGTTTATATTTCATATGTTTGAATATAGATAAGTTGGATTTATTTTAATATTGTTAAATTCGGTTAGACTTACTACTATTGTAAAATCTAAATTAAGACTTTCATAAAGCTAGGTCCAAGGTATTAATTAAAAAAAAATCTAACTAATTCGAATGGATATAAAATCAATAATATCGATGAGATGCGTGTTTTAGTTTTAATACAAGTATATCAAGTATGAATGTATATGATTTTAGTATTTGTGGCCATTCTAAAACTCCGTATTTTGCGCACAAAATGTACAACGCTACTAAAACTGCCATTACAGTGCTATGCGAAGGGCTTCGGCATGAGCTCAGCCTTGTCGACTCGAAGATTAAAATCTCGGTGAGTAACGATTGTTAAAAAATTTTAGTGGTACAAAATATATATCTAATTTGTTGGTTATAAAACATAATATTACTAAATACGTCAAATTGTAAAATCGTTTTTCAGAGTATCAGTCCTGGTAGCGTCGATACTGACATTTTCAAAACTGCTCAATTTAGACCATCTTCTCAAGTTGTTAGTTCAAGACCGGCTCTGAAACCGAATGACGTAGCAGCCGCTATAATCACAGTATTGGACACCCCTCCTCATGTGGAAGTTGGTCTTTATTTCATATGAAAATAACTTATTGGCTGCAATGCTAAATTACTAAACTAATCACTTATCCATCATTTAATTTATTCATTAATCATTAAAGTATAATTTATAAATCGCACAGTGGGGCAATTGATATCAAAAGCTGGCATTAAATCATAGGGTAAAAAAATATATTACTAAAATTAATATTATTTTTATATTTGTTCATCACACATATACAAAGTCGTTTACATAGTATTAACATAAGGTATAAAGTATTTATGGTATTTATTTATTTAATTTATTAACAAAATTAGAAAAATGTATTATTTTAAGTTTTAAGTTTAAAACTGGTCATGGTTATTGTCTTCATTGTCTTTGTTCAATTACGCGATTACGAACTGAACTTAGGTTTAACTACTAATAATAAAAATCGATAAATAATTATAATAACGAAATGGACTGTATTTTTACGCACAAAATTTAGCGGGTAGTCCGTACGGTAACGCGTGTACAAGACAACTACTCGGTCGAGCTCGTCGCATAGGTCGTTGAACTACGGTGCCTTATCGCGCGATTACGAAGATAACATTAATACATTTAATAAAAAACGATACGCGACCGTACATACCGCCCGCCTTGAAATATTAAATTTTCAACAATAAATAATAATTATATACAAATAATAATAAATAGATTAGCGTATTAACTATCGTACTCTATGATTTATAAAAATAAAACAATAAAAAAGAAGAGACAAAACACAAAAAAAATTTTTTTTTTTTTTTAGACATGAATATATTACTCGAATAATAATTAGAACACGATACACGATTGATTATAAAAAGAAAAATAAAAATAATTATTGGTTGATTGTCTAAGCATTTTCTACATTTCCCTCGAATGGTAATGGGCATAACTTCTGTACAGCTCGTTGGTAATGCCCCTCCTGAGTTTTCACGTTAGCAGATCTAATTACACCGTCACTTCCTCTCTGAACACTCGTAATCATGCCCAGCCGCCATCGAAACGCCGGAAGATTATCTTCTTTTACCAAAACCACTGTGCCAGGTTTCACCCAAGAGCCCTTATTACTCGCCCATTTTGACCGCTCCTGCAATTGTCCCAAATACTCGCTACTCCAACGACGCCATAGATGTTGGGAATATTGAGTTATTCTACGCCATCTCGTTAAATGATTTAGAGGTATGTTGGTTATATCAGGTTCAGGTACGGCGATTAGAGAGTCTCCTATCAGGAA